AAAATGCCTGGCAGTACAGAAGGCGGAACACGTCCCTTTTCAAACTTCACAGCCACGGTCACGGGTAATATTTCATTGCTTGGCATAGAACCCAACATTTTACACTTGGACAGTAAGCCCTTTCTTCCCCAGGTAATGATGAGCTTACTCCTGACATAAATGGTCACATGGGGTCACTGAAGGAGGTTTACAGGCCTTTGGGGACTCTGGCTTTTCTTAAGAGCAGGTGAGTCACCCTCACTCTCCTTCTCCTTGTCCTTTATCCATTTAAACAGTTTAAAAGATTTTCCAGAGTAAAATTTCTGTAACCAGCATCCATTTGAGGAAAAAAACTGTGGACCTTGCAGCACTGGGTTAAGAATGGCTATCTAGAAGAAATGATTTTTCCTCATACAGTTCACTGGCTGTTGCTGCTGTACTCCAGCTTCTAGGGGGAAGAGATGTGGGGAGGCGCAGGAAACCCTGAAGTCGAATTCTTGAATGGCTGCCTTTCCTAGCTTCTCTTAATTCTCTGCAGGGTGCTTGGAAAGTAAGGCTGCTAGGTTTTCAAGGTATACTATCAGACCTACTTACAGAACATCATTCTTTTGGTTTTAATAACCCTGACAATGACCCGTCACCACATTTAAGACTCCTTATGGATTGCCTGTTCTGTGACTCAGAGGCGCAAAATAAAAGTGATGAGACATCACTGTCAACTGGCCAAATCCCAAGAGGAGGACAGAGCTACTTGAGCACCTGCCTTGCTCTAAGGCTGCTTTTTGTCTAATGACCCAACGACTGCAGCAAAACTGAGTGGGACAAAAAGCACTCTGGAGGAGTTCAACATATGTGCATGAGGAAAAGTGCAGACTTTTTTTCAGCCAGATTATTTTTAGGACAGGGTCTGCCTGGTCAACTGCAAACTGCCAACTGAGTCAGACTCCCGGGACAAATCACAGTGTGTGTATGGCCATGATGCTACAAAAACAGTGCAGACGGACGGAGTACAGAAAAAACCGAAACAAAGCGAAATGAATGTGACGATTTTTTTTTAGTTAAAAAGAACTATGTTTACTTTGGGGGGAATTAACCCATACCATGAAATGTAAAATCACAACTTACAAGTGTCTTCCCCTTCCCACTAGAACCAAACAACACACATTTTTTCTTGATGTGAGACTGTACTTTTAGAGTTACATTTTAATTTAGCTTAACAACAGCAGAATTGATTCTGAGTTTATTCCAGGAAACATTTTTTGTCAGATGTAGCTAAAGATTTTGTTTTATATCTGCACTATGTGTTCTTGTGCATATAGACCAAAGACTGAATCAAACGTTGTATTTGTCGATACTAATTTTTCATCGACCTAGAACATTAGCTGTTCCTGCCTCCAGAAGAACAGACATGGAATATCAGATTAATGAGAGTGCAGTTTCAGGCATTTACATTTATTTCCCTTTGCTCTGAGCAGCTGTTCTACTGTTCTATTCCCATTAAGTAATTTTGGCTGTAATACAGCATATGTGATTTTCAATAATGTAACATTACACTTCCATTTCCCCAAAGAAACCCAAACACCAGTCTGATTGTTAAAGTGAACAGCAATAGTGAAAAAAAAAAATTTACCTGGAGATAAAAAGGAAGTAAACTGATAGAAGATTTCGGTGTCCTTCTTCTGACCGCTATACCCCACAACGCTACCAACCTCGAGCGGTAAGGTCTTGAGGAGAGCACCACTAGTCAGGTCATGGAGCTGCAGAATGTTCTTGACGTCATGGAGGTAGCATAAGACCAAGAAGTTGGACCTGACACAAGCTACCCATTCTGAAAGGATAAGAAGAGAAAAAAACCTCATGTAATTTTGAAAATTAGTGAAAAACATGTTTAATTGAGCAACAGTTCTAGAGCTACACAGAGGGCTATATGGCAATGAGACCTGCAAAGTCACTTTTACAATCTTTTCTTTTTTTAATTTTTGAGGCAGGGTCTTTTGTCGCCCAGGCTGAAGTGCAGTGGCGAGATCTCAGCTCACTGCAACCTCCACCTCCCAGGTTCAAGGGATTCTCCTGCCTCAGTCTCCCAACTGGCTGGGATTACAGGTGTGGGCCACCACGCCTAGCTAATTTTCGTATTTTTAATAGAGATGGGGTTTCACCATGTAGGCCAGGCTGGTCTCGAACTACTGGCCTCAAGTGATCTGCCCGCCTCGGCCTCCCAAAGGGTTGAGATTACAGGCGTGAGCCACTGTGCCCAGTCTTATAATTGGTTTTAATCGTTCATCTAGTTTTCAGCATATTCCTTTGATAAATGACTATTTTGTTTCCTGAGGAAATAAAATACCCTATACCTTAGGCCAGGGGCTTTTGATGACCTAGATAATGTGTGGAATAAAAACCCTGCCTTCCTATTTTGTGCCTATTATCATGCTATAAGAGCTATAAGGAAGAAAACAATAAAAGCCAAATCATGCTTCATGTCTGACAGGATAGCTTATTCGATAAAAATGTATTAAGCCCTTGGTATCCACCAGATTCCCTGCAAGGTGCTGGAGACAAGTAGGAAGAAGAAATCAACTCTGCTCGTGTGACAAAATCATATAAAAATGCAAGTAATAAACTATAAACAAAGGTAAGTGATTGGTTGGTTGAGGATCCAAAATGAATGACAGCCCTAAAGCAAGGGCTGAACTGAGTCTCAGGTACAGGGGTGTGGAGATGGAGGGGAAATGGAGGCTGGCAGGAAAAGCACAGCATCCAAGGGAATGAGATGTCGGAAGACAGTCAACTCCTGGCATGAAGGCCAGAGCCAGGAATGAGGAGGGAGGAAAGGAAAAGAAAGGACAGAAGGGAAGAAGACTGGTAAAGAGAACAAACAAGGGATCTGTTTTCAAGAGGAAGAGTTGTTCAGTTCAGGGCAGGTGGAGATGCTGGTGGTGGCCTGATGGGGTATCCAGTGAGCCAGGTAGAGGGGAGTTTATTCACCTGTGACTGAGGAGCCACTAGTGGAACAGAAAGTCAACATAAAGGTGGCATTAATAAAGGATGCATGTGTCTGACAGCTGAATGCAGAACAAGGGAAGTCTAAGGAGGGGAAAAGAGCAAGAGCATTATTGCAACAAGCCACGGAGACGATAAGTCTGCGTAGGGAAGAAAATAAATGAAAGGTATTTCCCAAGCAGAATAGCCAGGGCTTGGTGCCTGCAGGAATATGGAGAGAGGAAAGCACAGAAATAATTTCTCCTCAACGCCCAGGGCAAATGGCCAGGGCTTGGTGACTGCAGGGATACAGAGAGTAAGGCAGAGAAATGAGTTTTCCTCAACGCCCAGGGCTGTGACTTGCAGTAACAACATTCAGTGACACAGCTGGGAGAGGAGTGAAAGGAGAAAGTGAAGGGCAGGCACAGAGCTCTGCCAGAGGTAGGGCCAGGTCACCCAGAGGGAGAGACACTGCAGCAAGTGGAAGTGAGGACAGGGCTGCAGGTGACAGGCCACATGTGCTGAACACCAAGCCTTTCTTGGGTTTCATGTGGCAGGGTGGGGTTCTTCACACTGCTTATTTTTATAATGCAAGAAACTCGCGTTTCGTGTTTAGGATGCTAGGATTTACCCGTATGAAAAACAAGATGTTGGCCAGAGGGAACTCTGAGGGTCACCAGGGGCCTCGATCTTGGGCTGCTGAAATTACTACGGCAAACTTTTCCTCAAGTGAGGACATAAAGAAGAATTCGTGCCACCAAAAGTAATTTGCTCATTCTCCAATGCGCTTTCTAAAAACACCTCAATTAGGCAACATATTTCATGTGGCTTAATGTTTTAAAGGGACAAAAGTATGGGGAAAAATGAAGTAAATTATAGCTGTCAAAGAAGAATTAATCTGTGTTAACTATGAGTACGTCAGAATTATAAAACAGGCAAAAGTGAGTAACAGAAGGACAAGGTGATTTGTAGACTGTCATTAAAAGTTCTGGTTTACAGCTGTACTTTATGACTCATCTCTAGTTTTTATTCTCAATAGGGCGCTCTGTGCTAATGATATATGGCACATTCAACTATGCTTCTCTTTAAATTGATGAGTTCTAGTGAACATTGAAGGTTTCCCTTTCTAGTCTGAAAATCTTATAACCTTTCCAGAAGGAAGGTTACATAAATATATCACCCCCCAACAAAATCTCCTAGCATTAATTTGCATTTCATTACATCTATAAGATGGGATGTCACCTTAAGGCATAGTTAAAACCCCTCTTTTGGCTTTAAATGGCAGAAATTCAGATACTTTGGGAAACGGTTACAATATCCATGAGGGTGTCCTATACAATAATGACGATTTCATCCTGACTTGTACCTGAAAAACTCCTGCAGCTCCTACACAAAGACTCATGCCACTCAAGTCTCATTTGGATGCACCAAAGCATGAGGTCAGTCGGTGCTGAACAGACTGCTGAACCTGGCACGCAGGAAGCCCTCACTAACTGCTGGCTATAACTACCCTTACGGGGACATTCCTGCCTCAGTTTGGACAGAAGCCATCAGGCTATCAAAGTGACTACGAAACAGATTCACTGCACAAAGATGCCGGAAGAAATGATAAAAAATCTGTTCTGTGACTCAAAGATCCCTCATTCAAATATAAATAAGGGTCAGAACGCGCACAGAAGGTTTTGAGGAGATAGGTGATAAGATTTCCTCTTGCTCTTGCCTTTAAGTCCCCTACCCTATGGGAAGGTGACAGGATTATTACCTTCTACCAACCCCAGTCTGACACAGACTGAGTACCAGTGCCTGATCTAAACCTGAAAGTTAAAGGGACTGTGCCTGGAAATCCAAAAGGCAGGAAAACTTCCTTTAGAGGAAGAGTCTGGAATGCGTTGCTGTCTTGGGGTTGCAGACGTGAATTTTGAGCAGGCATGGAGTTGTCTTGGGTCCTGTCCAATAGAACTGCCTACAGGGGTGTGGAGATCTCAGTACAAGAGGGTGGAGGGGTACGGTCAGGTGCCCAAGGGCTGAACAGACTCTCAAGGAAACACCCAGGAATGCTTTCTCCAGGGCTAAGGGACCTGCCGCAGAAACAAGGGCCCAGAAGAAAGAGCCCATAGCAACCTGTGACCTTGAGAGAAGCAGCTGGAATCATCTGCTCCCTACCACCCCCAAGCAATGCCAGGTTTAAATAACTGCCAGGCACAGAGAGCATACCACTTTAAACAAGGGAGAAACAGTACCTTATTGATCAAGAACCTGAACCTGGATCTGCCTGACTCCAAGACCTGTGCTTTAATTCATTGAAAGACACACTTCAGGACTGCTTTATCTTAGACAGGGCCACTCTGCAGATCTCAAAGGGGACTTTTTTTTCCTGCTTATATACCATATATATTTGCATTTTTAAATGGTCCTATTTAATCCTCATTCAATCCAGCAAAAGTTCATCAACAAGTAAACTTCCTTGGCCTAATGGTACTGAACTCTCATTTGTGTAAAAAACTATCCCCAAATTAGTGAGTCTTATTCTAGTAAAATTCAACTTTCTTTAAAAAAAAAAAAAAAAAAATAGGGTTTTACCATATTGGTCAGGCTGGTCTCGAACTCCTGACCTCAGGTGATCCACCCACCTCAGCCTCCCAAAGTGCTGGGATTACAGGTGTGAGCCACTGCGCCCCGCCTAAAATTCAACTTTCATGCAATAAATAATGTATAAAGCAGCATTTCATTTTTGGAAAAACCACAGAGAGAATGAATAAAAGGGAACTGAAAGGCTCTGTAAAACATGACTGATACGGAAGCAAGGTTCTCAAGAGGTTAATGTAGTTCACTGCACAAAGCAGCAACTGCAACGGGTTTCAATTAAATCTGACAATAGTCTATTCCCTTTTCTAATAAGTGGGCTCGAAATCCACACTAAGATCAACAACAGGGATAATGCAAATTGCCAAAGGTTACTCAAAAGCTTAAAGCTAAGGATTCTAAATCTAAACAGTTTTAAAAATTAAATGTTCATGATTATTACCAGACATTAAGTATACAAAGACAACCGATACATTTTTTTAAAATGCAGTACTTTGGAAATCTGAAATCCTACCTTCGCAATTTTTATGAAGACTTTGCACGTCTACATGATATAGTACTAAGCTACAAAAAGATATCATACAATGAAGGCTTGGATGAACTATTTAGACACTTCATTCCTGATGATTACAGGTTGAAGGTTTTTTACCTTGTAACTAGTCACTAGAGAATGAGACACACTAACCTGTTGACGTTCTCATCAAAAATAAGAGCACAGTTTTCAAGTAACATGTGTTCTCACCTAAGACATCTTTCTCATGCTCAGGAACAAGCACTTTCCACTTAGACTCGTCAGGATCCCTGAAGTCAATGTTGATCACGCGATAGTTGGGAGAATGGCGATTCGTCTTGAACGTGAACACCGTCCCCTCATTGGTCACGTAGTCATATTCTCCTTCAAAGTTGTCGATCAGTTTTACCCACTTTAGGATTCCTGGCAAGAGACCAAGTATTCTCATCATCTCTCTAATGTTTAAAAATGGTGTTGGTTTGTGTGTATGGAGGGGAGGGTGGATCTTTCTTATCCTCAAAACACAAAGCAGAGATATTTGGAAGATCTAAGGCATGAAAAGGAGCAAGGACCAGTTATGGGTGAATTTAAAAATGCTAAGGAGCCCCCGAAAAACCTGGCAAGGAGGCGAGAGTGAAGGACCTCCCTTCCTAGCTCATCACCCCCACACAATCTGGTAAATCCTCCTCTACCTGAGCCAGCTTCAAATCTGGGCACTTCTCTCCACCTCACCTATCATCATACCATTCCAGGTCTTTGTGGTGTCCCTCCCAAGTCTTTGTGTTCTACAGCAGTAGTTCCCAGCCATGGAGACTTTCAGCCCCAGGGATTATATGTCACAACTTGAGGGTAGGGCTGCTACTGGCACCTAAAGGGTAGAGACCAGAGATGCTGCTAACCATGCTACAATGCACAGGACGGCCCTATAACAAAGTAGTGGCCAGCTAAACAGTCAATAGTGCCAAGTCTGAGAATACTTGGTCTACAGCATTAGCTTCCTGCCTGGTCTTCCCACTGCCGCTCTTGATTTTCTCAGTATGGCAGCCACCACAATATCTCAATCTTTGAACTGGTCCGTGTTCGTGCCCTTAGAAACTTTCAGTGACTTCTCCATTACCCTTGGAATAAAATCCAAATTCCTTCCCATGGTCTTGCATGCTACAGCCCTTTTCCAGTTAGCCAACTTCAGATAGTTCCAACTCTTGCCTCACTTCCTGTCCTTTTATTGGCATTGGCCTTTATTAGATGCCACTTTTAACAAGCACCCAGTTTGTTTCTTCACAGCACTTCTCTCAAGATATATTCATTCATTCATTTTTTTTTGTTAAGAGATGAGGTCTCTCAGCTGGGCATGGTGGCTCATGCCTGTAATCACAGCACTTTTGGAGGCCAGAGAAGGCAGATCACTTGAGGTCAGGAGTTTGAGACCAGCCTTGCCAACAGGGTTAAGCCCTGTCTCTATTAAAAATACAAAAATTAGCCGGGCATAGTGGCACACACCTGTAATCCCAGCTACTCAGGAGGCTAAGGCACGGAGTTGCTTGAACCCAGGAGGTGGAGGTTGCAGTGGGCTGAGATTGCGCCACTTCATTCCAGCCTGAGCAGAGTGAGACTCTTGTCTCAAAAAACAAAGACAAAAGCAAAAAAGAAAAAAAAAAAAAAAAAAAAGAGATGAGGTCCCACCATGTTGCCCAGGCCTGAATGCAGTGGCTATTCACAGGCACGATCACAGTTCACTGCAACCTCAAACTCCGGCTCCTGAGATCCTCCTGCCTCAGCATCCCCACTAGCTGGGACTACGGGTGTACAACCCAGTGCCCAACTCTCTCTCAAGATATAATTATGTATTTATTTGCTTATTATTTTTCTTTTCATTCACTGTTTCATACTTGGCACAAAACTGAGTGGCAGGTAACTTGAAATATACAAAATAAAATTTGCATGGCATAAAAGGGACACTTCCCAGACCTTTAAGAACTAGAGATGATCATCATTAAAAAAAATTTTCAGTACATTCGTGTCATCATCATTTAAATGGTTCACTAAATGCTACTTTTAATATTTAAAGCGGAAACCATCAAAATCCCTTGGAAAAACATGTTTTTACCATGTGTCTGACACAGACGATGTTCAGCGAACATCTCAAAAGTTTCATAAACAAAAAAGTTCTATGACTTCTAAACTACTAAAAGGCAATGCCAGATCTTAGCTATTTTCCAATTCTCTACTTTTAATTACACAGTGAAATTGCTACACTAATCTGGGTAGTTCATTTACATTCCTTACATTCCTTAAATCTCTCAAGGCAATTTTACATTCATTATCTCATTCATCTCTGCAGTATATCTTCATATAATTTGTTATTGAATTAAATGTAACAGGGAAATAAATTCCACCACAGAAAGAGTACTGTGGTCATATATGTTTGTACTAAAACGCCAGTTCTAACACTATTTAGTTGGGTCACCTTGAGCAATCTCTTTGTTCCTTGCAAAGCCTCATTTTCTTAACTGTAAACTAGGAATAATAGGTAAATACAAAAATTATTATAAAAGTATCTACTAGTACCTACCCCATAATAGAAACTCAACAAAAATTGTTTTAAAATAAGTGATTGGAGGCTGGCTAGGGTGGCTCACACCTGTAATCCCAGCACTTTGGGAGGCCAAGGCAGGCGGATCTCTTGAGGCCAAAAATTTGAGACCAGCTTGGCCAACATGGCAAAACCTCGTTTCTACTAAAAACAAACAAAAAATTAGCCAGACATGGTAGCGCACACCTGTAATCCCAGCTACTTGAGAGTCTGAGGCAAGAGAATCACTTGAATCCAGGAGGTGGAGGTTGCAGTGAGCTGAGATCATGCCACTGCATTCTAGCCTGGGCAACACAGCGAGACCCTGCCTCAAGAAAATATACATAAAATAAAATATTCCCATATATTACTGAAAAGAAATATGTATTCTGAAGTTGTTGGATGTGATATGCTAAACACGCCTATTAGGTTGTTAATCAGATTGTTCAAATCTTCTATATATTTACTGATTTAGCCATTCTGTTAGTCACAGAAAATGCCTATTAAAAAATGTTCCTCTAGGCTTGTGGATTTGTCTATTTTTACTCATATTCCTACTAATTTTTGCTCCCTGTATTTTGTAATCATGGTATTAGATTACACAGAATTATCACATCTAAATAAAACTGAAGTGAATCTTTTATGAAGTATTATCTCTAGTGATGCTTTTTGCTTTAAAGTCTGCTTTCATATTAAAATAGCTATAGCATTCTCATAGTAGTATCTTAGACCAGTTATTTACTTTCTCATAAGCTATGTGATGCCTTCAAATAGGAATTTTCTTCAGCTTTTCTTTTTCCTTTTGTGACAGAGTTTCACTCTTGTTGCCCAGGCTGGAGTGCAGTGGTGTAATCTCAGCTCACTGCAACCTCCACCTCCTGGGTTCAAGTGATTCTCCTGCCTCAGCCTCCTGACTAGCTGGGATTACAGGCACCCGCCACCAGCCCCTGCCCTGGCTAAGTTTTGCATTTTTTTAGTAGAGACAGGGTTTCACCAAGTTGGCCAAGCTGGTCTCAAACTCCTGACCTCAGATCATCTGCCTGCCTTGGCCTCCCAAAGTGCTGGGATTACAGGCATGAGCCACCACTCCCGGTCCTTCTTCAGCTTTTCTAGTTGTCTTCTGCAAAATGGTTTGTCTCAATCTGTAGTTTATCATTATTGGAAACAGTTTGCTCTTTCCATGCCTATAAACTTCCATGTCTATATACTCAGTGTTTTTCCACCTCTGTGGGCTGTATTCTAGATAGCTCCTTATATATATCTACATTCTATTTCACTAATTATCTCTTCGGCTATGTCTAATCTCCTCCTTAGCCTAATAACTGAGTTTTTAAAGTTAATAATCATATTTTTTTTAATTTCTAGAAGTTCTAGTCAGTCATTTTCCAAATCTGGCTGATTATTTTTTTAAAGTATCTTATTTATTGCATATCCTTCCAAGCTTCTTGCTTGCTTTTTAAAAGGAGCATCACCCTGTTTAAGTATATTTAACATATTCATTTTTTTTGTTAGGAATCTGATAATGTGGCCAGCAGTCATTGCTTCTGCTTGCTCTAATTTCTCATGCTAGTGAATTTCTTCATCTGATTTGACTTTTTACTGTAACTGCTGGTTTTCCTTGAAACATTGTAGAAATTCTTGGAGGCCTGGGTTGAAGTAGCACTCTTTCAGAGATGAGTGTTTCTTTTCTGGCCTGTTGGGATGCAACCAACCTGACGGCACTATAATTAAACTCTTGGCATGAAGATTTTGGACCTCATTGGTACAACCAAGTCAACCTGTACTCATGTGATGGTCAGCCTTTCTCCTGTTTTAGGAGAGTTCACATCCTGTCTGCCCCTACCCCTTCTAATGCCTAGGTAAGGGCAGGCAGATTTCCTTACTGTTCACTCCCCATCCCCAGCCTCTCCACTGGCAAGTTTATTTTTATCAGTCATCCTTACATTGATAGTTTGTCTCAGCAGACACCCAATTATGCTTTATTTCCTATCCAATTTCCCCCCTATCCCAGCAGAAACATTCAGGGACAATCCAGCTCACATTCCAGCTTTCATTTTGTCTTTGGTCTTTATGGTTTCCCTTCTTTCATTCGGACTTAGCAATGTATTTGGAAAGATGCTTTATAAATTTTTTACATTTCAGTTGTTTCAACTGGGAGGTTATTCAGAGTATATAAACTTCCATACTCCCAGAAACAGATATCCTTACAACTAATTTTCAACTAATTTGAAAAAATTTTCATAAACTCTGCATTTGAGTTGCAATTATCTTTTTTTATCCAGTGACAAACTACTAATCTCAAAAGGCTACTCAGCAGGTGATCCACTCAAAGATAATTCATCTTAGTCTACATAAAACAATGCTTTAAAAAAAAAAAAGTCCCCATTCCTTAAAAGAAAAACAATTTAAGTAAAATATTAGCTGGTAATGCAAAATTTGAAGAGAATAAGAAATGTATATTTGTTTATAATAAGAACAATGAAACAATTTTCTGGACTATGACATTTGTAGACACAAAATCTTGGCTCAGTGAAATGTCAGATTCCTTAAATGTTCCCCAATGATAAAGCACTTCCTGATGTGAAACCTTTATTTCACAAAGTAACCACCTTATGGTTTCTGCCTGAAAAGGTCCAGGAACCAGTGGTATTTATGGCCCCTCCCTACCCAAAGTCATTAAAGTATGCACCAAAGGCAAAACACAGTAGAAATTTCCTTCAGGACTGCTGTCTAATCAGGTAAGCCTGAAGATATGGCACACATGAAAATCATTCAAGCTCCAATGAACAACAAAACAGTTTAGGTTATTGTCTGCCACCAAATTCTGACACATTAACCTTAGCCATAAATA